AAGGGGTTTGTTTTATTCAATAGTGCATTTAGTGTTTAAGGTTTATTTTTGTCAGCATGCTTTTTATTGGTGGTGTAATTACCTGGACAACAACTGAGTCCTGTAGATGCCTGGTAAAGAATGCTGGTGCAGCTTTTTAAAGTGTGATATGTAATTGGAGTGTCTAGTTATGGCATTGAGATGTATAGCAAGGCTTTGATGCTGGTTCCCCAAACTACCATTTGGACTAGTGAAAAGATCTTAAGAGTAGCACCTTATCAGAGCTTTTGGAGAATGGACACTGTTGTGTTTAAGAGGCTAGCTAGCATTAAATATATAAACAAAAGTCTTGACACACCATTGGAAATGGTGTTACTAATCAAATTCCTATCTGTTAGAATTTTTAGGCAGCAGATGATAAAATTTGAATTCATAAGATTTGCATTATGACTTTTTTGTCATGTTATTTTAAATAAGCTTTAATAAATTTTCAGTACCACATCATCAATTGTTGATAATTCTCAAGTCCATTCCCATGTACCTCAAAGCTACAGAATTGGAGCTGAGGGGCCCTCATCATGAATGAGGAAACTGAGGCACAGAACCATACAGGGCGTCTGGTGGCTGAGTCAGGCCTGGAACCCTGTTCTCCTGACTCACGGCCTCGTGCCACTGTTTCCAGTCTCACTGTGTGTGGTTGACCCACTGCTTGCAGTTTTGCTCTTTTCTCAGTCCCGGAATATTTGAAGGCAGAAATCTTCATTATTTCAGAACATAGATCCCTCAGAGCTTAAAACTTGACCAGTTACCCTCCTTCCCCAACACCTGCCTCAGCCACATGTGATGCCTCTTTGAGGCTGTTTGGAGTTAGAAATTAGTACTTCTTTTTTCCATTTTCATTAATCAACTTCTAGTCAACAGATGCAATCAACGGATAACCAGTGTTATCATTTAGAACTGATGTAATTCCAGCCCAATGGAGAAAAACTTGCTATTTTTCCTGTGCTGGACAGCTTTATCTTGAGTAAAAATTCTAATTTCGGTGGGACTTGCTGAAATCTAGCAACTAGCTTATGGCTGTGAGTACCCTGAGCCCTGACTGGGATGCAAAGGATGAGAAAGATGGCTGCCCTCATCTCCTTGGAAGCCTTTGAGTGTCAGGTCGATAAGCATTTCTAAGTTGCCCAGTATCAGTCCACGTAGGGGAAGAAACCAGGCTTGAACTTGAGCCAAAGCGTTCAAGGAGACTTTTGTGTAGCTTTGTTCAGTGTCTGAAACCAGCATTTTCCCACTTGAATAAAGTTTTCCACCAATTAGTTCAGCAGGAATGAAATGTAGCTAGTTCTGCCAGAAGTCAGCAAGACAGCCCTGGCCCCACGCTGTTCCGGCCAGGCAGTGACCCTCCATATTCATCCTGAACTGGACATCCACTTGGGCCACTGTGGTGCCTGCCTGGTCTGAAGATCACATGGGGTGGGTGGGGGGCGGGGGGAGAAGAAAGGACAGGATGAGGTTTTTAGCATTTGTGAGCCCAGAGGCCTATAATAATCATGTGCGGTTTTTTTTCTTTTTAAACAAAAGAAAAACACTGTTGCCCTTAGCTGTCCTCAGATTAGGGGTCTGGCGGTTCTCTTGGTGTTTGCATGTATAAGATTTGGTTACCATGCAACCTGATGTAAGCTGCGAGTCTTTAGATTGTGTGCAGTGCTTAACCCAGTCAGATAGTATTATTCAGTAATTCTGTTTTTGCTGCATTAACATCTAAGAGAAACAGGACCTTTGAAAATTAAGGTGGTGTGTGCATTCGTGGGCTTGCTGCTGTGACGCAGCATAAGACTGTCCTGCCTGATTTGAGAGGCCAAAGCCGCCTCCCAGCGTAGCAGATGCTCCATTGACGTGGCAGCGACACACAGCATTTGCCTGAGTCTCAAGGTTCTAGCCCTTTAGTGGTGATCTTGGCGAGGAGAAGGAGCATGGCTGGGCGTTGAAATGAGACAAGCGTGGGGTCAAATTCTGGCTGCGGGACATCCTGCGGTTTGGTTCCTGAACTGAACGAGAAAATTTATCTCCCGGGGTTGCTGTGAAGGTTGGTGAGGCTACAGTGGAGGTGGCCCACAGTGCGGTGTCCCCCTGGGACCAGTACAAGCTTTTCTCCCCACTGCCTGTTACTTTGTTTCCGTGAACTGGGAAGAAGGAGAGGTGGTCTCACTGAGCACTCTGAAATGAGCCTTTTGGGGATTCAGGTCATCTGGGTAAATCAGCCGACTCGACAGCAGGAAAGCAGTAGTGTCCAGCAGTAAGTATCGGGCCTGAAAGTCACGCGGCTTTGGGCCATCGGAATGGGGCATGTACCCTCTTATTAATCCTTAATGGCTCCACTGGAGTAAGGCACCTTAGTGATGGACATCAACTCTGGACCTCCACTTCGGACTAAGGTTCGAAGGGAACTGCCCAGGACCACCCGGAAGATGCCGTGCTTGGCGCCACAGCGGGCTCTGGGGGCTTAGACTGGACCGGGACAGCTCACACGGGGCGTCTCGATGCCAGGCCCCCAGACGGGCGCTGCTGGGTTTGCAGACCCAGGTGCCCCACGGTTGAAGTAGGTGCTGCAGCTAAACGCCCCCAAAAGGCTGGGGAAAGCCCCAGTTGCGGCTTGGGTGTTTCAAAACGTAGTTGAGAAAAAGAAAACCTCAGTGTTACAGAGAATTCAGATAATGTGTTGGATTTTGCAGTGATAAAATTTTGTATTATTAGGGGTCCAATTTAATGTGGAGAAAGAGATAACGTTTGGTATTAGTGTTAATTCCTTTCTGCTCCTTCCTCATCCGCTTTTATTGCTAAAGGGTCACACACACCTGTTTCATACATTCCCGTCTGCCCAAGCGGGCTACGTAGAATATCCTTGAATGAGTTCTTGGGTGGGGCTTCTACGTCCAGGTGACCTTGGGCCTGATAGTGTTTGCAGTCTGAAGTGGTTTTTTTGCACAAAAGTGTATGCTTTCCTGATGGGTTTAGATCACAGGTTGTAATTAAGACCTGATTTGAAATACTCATCCTTAACAGAGGTTTTGAATAAGCTAATAACCCCATGTTAAACATAGGCAGTGGGCAGACTTCATTTAAACCCAGAGAGAGGTTTTGGTCGATGTTTATTTCTCTGTAAGGTGTATGCTTAGTGCACTGACAGTTTGTCAGTGAAATGCTTTTCTCAGGGAAAACGCTGCAGCCTTCGTTTTTCACAGTGGAATCCCGGATGGCCACTGGCACCTTTAAATTAACTTAACATGGTGTCGCTTTGAAGCTCCTCCATTCGTTCAGATCCTGCTCTGTTCTCTCTGGCTTTTCCGCCATGCCCAGCCCACTGAGTATCAAAGGACTGGACTTCCAGAGCCACTCCATTGTCCTTCTACTTTGGACTAGTAAATGAGTTGCTCTGGCTTTAGCTTTGCTGTTGGTGTGGTGGATTTAGAGGTTTGAAGCCCAGCCTTCCTGATTCTAAAGCCTATTAAGGAGAACCTTTAACCTTCCTGAGAAAGTTAGCTCATGTGTAAAAGTGGGTACTGGTATCTCTCCCGGAAGGTTATTGCGAGGATTAAATAACGTCACAGGTGAGAGCCTGGTGCATGCAGAGGGAGGCCCATGTTCAGACAACCCAAATAGCCACACAAACACCGCTAGCAGTCTGAGGTGATCTTACTCCAGGCAAATTCACTTTTCAATTAAAATTTTAAAAATACAGCTTTTATCTAGAAGAACCCCTGAAAATACTAATATGGAGGTGGCATTTGTGGGCATGACTGCAGTTAGTTGGTGGCACGCAGTATGTATAAGGCCAGCAGTGAGAAATGAGAATCCTTGGTCAAGACCTGAGTCCAGATACCGAGACTTCCATTTCTAGAGAACCTGTCATTTCATTGTGAACACTTAGCAGAGAGAAGGGCAGTCCTGCTACACGTTGAACATTCTGCCCAAATCTAGCATTCCCATTGTGTTTGGTCATTACCTTTTCCTTGTGTTAAATCCTATATTTAAAAAAAAAATCATACAGCCTTTAAAGTAATGCTAGAGAATGAATAAAGAGGAATTAATTTTTTAATCAAAATGTATGAACTTGCCTTATAACATTTTTATGATAGCCCTACTTGAATTATCTTTTTGATTAAAATAGAATTCGATTTTTCTATGGCATATTTAACATTTTGGGTCATAATCATGTTAGGGATGAATTAATAGATCTTCTCTGAGTGAACTATCAGGACAGATCCCCTCTGGGTTTGAAATGTAATTAAAAATGTCAGTGAACTCACTTGGAGGTCCTCAGAGCTGCAGGGCCCTCTCGAAAATGTTGGGCAAGGACTGAAAATAGTTACCCAAGTGTAGTGGGCATAAGGCACCAGCAGGGGGGAGAGGGCTCAGGTCACATCTGTCGGGCTTCTCTTGTCTCAACTTCCTTGCAGTGTTGGGATGTTATTCTCAGATTTCCTGCAGGGATGTTTTTAGCACAAGGCTCTGGGTCCAGTAGGTGGCCTCTCTCAATAAATGGCCAGTGCAGAGACCTCGAAGAGAAAAATGAGGATCTAAATAACATCCTTGTTCTCTGCAACCTTTCTCCCTAATGAGGCTCCCAGACTTGCTTTCTTTCCACCTGGCATCCTCCGTTTTGTTTTTGGCAGACTTTGAAGGGTGTGGGTAGAAGTATTGTGGGGAGGAGGGCTGGAAGAGACCTGTGAACTTAGGTCCCTTGGGTGCAGCCGGCTGTCCCCACCCTCCCGGTCTCTTCCCTCCACAAAGTATGTGGTTGGCCTCCCTGACCTCTGCCTCAGAGCTGATTCGGGAGCGGAAGGTGCGGAAGAATGAGAGCAGTATTGTTCGGGTAGAGGTCAGTGGATACAAAGTACCTTTTTTCTGGGGTATATTAAAAAATATTGGTTTCAGGCAAATAATCAGTTCTCAAGCAGGTACTTAAAATCAGACAAGCAAGCAATTCTGATATATGGTTCTTTCTGTTTCTTTTCAGATTTCATATGTTCCTTTCATACAAGTGATTTCCCAGATCATAATTCTCTGTTGAGATCTGAGTTGAATTTGAGAAGTTGGAGAATTCCTGCAGCTTTGTAATCAGAGGAGTAATCAGCTGGCGAATTCACCTTTGGAGGAGTTCTGCATTTTGCCAGTCATCTCGTAACTGAGTGCCAAAGGTGAGTCTGCAGTTTTCTGCTTAAAACAGGTGGGAGAAGTTGCTGCTTTTGCTTCAAATAAATGCTCGATTTGCACAGCGGGTTTTACGTCAGTAAAATGACAATAAATGTAGCCCTGATTTGTTGAGCCACAAAAAATTTAGGTTTTCAAGGGACCTGGTTCAAAAACTAGATTGCAGTTCCTGCTTCAGCATGTGATGGCATTGGGTGGCTAGGAGGCAGAATGGTGGGCATCTCCAGCCTGTGAAAAGCCCTCGTGCCCTGCCTCTCCAGCCCAACAGGGGTCTTGAGTGAGTAGGAGTCAGGGCTTCTGTCTGCTGCGTTGGGAGAACTCCGGTAAATGAGAACTGCCTCCAGGGTGCTTTCAGTCTAGAAAAGGTTCCTTCCAACTCTGATGCTGGGAAGTTAAGTCTAATCAAAACATGCAAATAGATACAGGATTCCTAGGGAAGTTTTACTGTTTGTGTGAGAAATCTGCTCGTGTGTGTTGAAATTGTAGCTGTAATCCAGCATGTGGATTCTGTGATCCAGCGGTCCCATACTGACAGGTGCTGGACAAAAGCATGACTCTGTATAACAGAAATATTACTTAGCCCTAGCAGATGGTTTGGACATTTGGTTTAGAATGTAAGAGTTGCTGTTTGTAGTCTGGTTAATCTGCTGTTCCATCTCTAGCAGGGCGGTAAGGAGTGTCTATGAGAAGGTACAGTTTCATCTCCAGAGCGTCGTCTCCTAATTGTAGGGATGGTACCCAATTCATCAGCTTTCCTTCAAAACCTTATTTTGCTTCTATTATTCACAAATTGTTTTAAACTATTCTTTTTTTTTTTTTTTTAAAGATTTTATTTATTTATTTTTTCCCCTCAAAGCCCCAGTAGATAGTTGTATGTCATAGCTGCACATCCTTCCAGTTGCTGTATGTGGGACGCGGCCTCAGCATGGCCAGAGAAGTGGTGCCCGCCCGGGATCCGAACCCGGGCCGCCAGCAGCGGAGCACTCGCACTTAACCGCTAAGCCACGGGGCCGGCCCTAAACTATTCTTGAATCTATAACTTTGAATTATAAAATCTTTTGGTATGATTTCTGTAAATTTATTAGTTTAATATAAATTAGGATTTTCTTTCATCTGATCTAAAACTATACTTAAAAATTTTGTAAATGAGTTTTTTCTCCTTGACCGCTTTGTTTTTTTTGGAGCCTTCTTAATTTTAATTATGTTCACCTTTGATGTGTGGTAACTGGAAAGGTGTAGAATTAATATGTAGTAATCGATGAGGGTAGGAGTAAGTGTCTGAGTGTCTTTGCCTTATTAGCCTTTATGATTTCTTTTGGAGAAATTGACACATTGTCCCATTCATTTAGGGTGTTCATTATGATTTGCAAGTCTTGGTCCTGGTTTGGAATTGAGAGCTTGGAGCTCATGCTGTGCAGCCTGATTCTCAACCCTCCTCCTTTCTCCCTCCCCCTGTACTTTACCTTATCTTGACCTGCCTGCCCCAGGACGGTGTTGGCTCCTGCTGGCTTTACATCCCCTCCTGCATTGATAAGGCACTCCCAGGGTTGCAGTCCAGACCTTATGGGAAAAAAACACTACTGGGGTGTTTCAGGTTCAATCCTAGGAGATTTCCATTGCGTTAAAAAACACTTTTACCCAGGGTGACTCAATTTTGTGTGTGTGTGTGTGTGAGGAAGATTAGCCCTGAGCTAACATCCAATGCCAATCCTCCTCTTTTTGCTGAGGAAGATTGGCCCTGGGCTAACATCCATGGCCATCTTCCTCTACTTTATATGGGACCCTGCCACAGCATGGCTTGACAAGCAGTGCATCGTTCCGTGCCCTGGATCCGAACCTACGAACCCCGGGCCACTGAAGCAGAGCACGAGAACTTAACTACTATGCCACCGGTCCAGCCCCCTCAATTTTTTTAATAGTCGTTGAAGTGGAACCTTTTAAGACTTAGTCATTTATAAATGCAGTCACATACTTCATAGCAATATAAGCTAGAAATTAGTGCAAATCCTCAAATCCAGTCATCAGAATTCATTAGTAATTCATCAGTAACAGAATCTGACACTATTTCTTTAGAATGTTCTTAATCATGAATGACATTAACAGACTTTAAGTTATTGTTTAAGTTGTTCTGAACTTTCTCTTTCAGAAAGCCGTGAGGCAGGGGAAGTAACATGCTCACACACGGCAACATATTCTGCATGAACGCCTGGAAAGGGTCTGTTACTGTTAGGCAAATGAGTTGATTCCTGGGTACGATTAGGTAGAGAACCATTCATAGATTATCATGAAAATCTACTTACAAAAATATTTATACCCATATAATTTTAAAGAATTACCTTTGTTTTTATAAGTTCATGAGATCCATGCCAAAACCCTGGTTTACTTATTACAAATGACTTTTGTGGTTTAGGTAAATGGTCAGTGGGAAAATCATTATATGTATCCATTCATATAATAAATATTTATGGTGGGGGCCGCCCTGGTGGCCCACCGGTTAAGTGTGCGGGCTCCACTGCGGTGGCCCGGGGTTCGCCGGTTCGGATCCTGGGCGCGCACCACCGCACCGCTTGTCAAGCCATGCTGTGGCGGCGTCCCATATAAAGTGGAGGAAGATGGGCATGGATGTTAGCCCAGGGCCAGTCTTCCTCAGCAAAAAGAGGAGGATTGGCAGATGTTAGCTCAGGGCTGATCATCTTCTTAAAAAAAAATATTTATTGTGAGTACCAACTGGATTCTAGGCTATTTGTCTTGCAGTGACTGTTTTAGCACTGTGTTTTAGCAGCTATAAAAATAGATAAAATAGTTACAGACACCCTTTCTCATACCCTTGTGGGATGGGGCAGGACCCTGACAGCTCTGGGGCTGTGATAACTCCTGTAGCAAGGTTCTTATAGCGACTACCTGGTGAACTGACCTTCGGAGAGGAGTCTGGAAAAGCCAGAGAATACTATGTTTGGAGTGAGTTTTAAAGAATGAAGGGATGTCTGGGCAGAGTCATAATGGGTTGCCTTGGCACAGGGCATGCTCAGTGGATTGGCTAGGTATTGGGTCCCAGAGTCTCCAAGCCGTTGAAGCAATAATGGGTGGGGACCAGGCGCATGCTCTTTGGCCAGTGGTCTTTGAAGTGCCAGCAGAGAAAGTGATAGCTTGGTCAGCTTGATCATTTGGTGTATCTTGGAAAGAAATGAAAGCAATGCTAGCCTGGTAAAGTGGTGAGTGGCCTGTCAGCCTCCGATGCATTTCCCAGTTATTGGGCGCTCAGAGTTCGCACTGTCCCAGCTTAGGCCTACACCTGGGGAGCAGTTTGAGGAGGGGAGGGTGTCTGAGCTGCATTTCAGAGGGGCCTGAGCGAGGTCGCCGAGCCTCTGTTTCCAGGTGGTGCACTTCCCTGACCCATCTTCTTGTCTCCCCTGGAGCCTCCCCCCACTTTGAAGTTAAGGAGCCAAGGCCTTGGAACTCCCTGGCCCTGACCCTGCCTACTTTGGGGAGTGGAGACCATGGTGAGAGCATGTTTGCAAACCCTTCCATTAACACCGGAATTGTTAACTTAACAGATTGTAGAGAGCAAAAGGGGTGATTAGGCACATGTTTGTGGTGATGGATTGTAATTACTATTTGGATGGTGAACATGATGTAATCTATGCAGAAATAGAAGTATAATGATGTACACCTGAAATTTATACAATGTTATAAACCAATGTTACTGCAAAAAAAAAAAAAACTGATGTGTAATCTGCACTTAATTCTTCCCATATATAGTTGAAAATTGATTGTGATTCACTGTCATTGGAGGCTGGCTTATATTTACTGGGGCTGGACGATGTAAGGGGCTTTGTATGCTGTGCTGAAGATTTTTTATCTTTTGAAAAGCTATTTGGAGACTTTTTCAAGAGAAAAGCCTAATGGGCAGAAGGATGTTGGTGTTACAGGGGAGGAAAGACAGCGGTTTAGGTGACAACACTCATGGGCTAAGTAAAGGAGACCGTGATTTCACAACTGTGTCAGATGCTGATGTGAATTACCAGAGTGTAAAAGTTAGCAATGATCCTTTTTTCTTTTTTGTCTTTTTCTGCTTTATTGAGATATAGTTGACAAATAAAATTGTAATATGTTTAAAGTGTACTTCGAGGTCACTTGATATACCATATACATTGTGAAAGAGTTCCGACCATCTAGTTAATTAACACGTCTGTCACCTCACATATTTCTTTTTGTGTGTGTGTGTGTGTGAAAACATTTAAATTCTCCCAGCAAATTTCAATTATATAATACAGTATTATTGACTGTAGTCATCATGTTATACATTAGATCCTCAGACCTTATTCATCTGATAGCTGAAAGTTTGTACCTTTTTACCAACCTCGACCTGTGTCTCCCACCACCCAGCCCCTGGCACCTGCTTTACTACTACTCTGTTTCTATGAGTTTGACTTTTTTTTTTTCCTAAGAGTCAACATATAAGTGCTACCATGCATTATTTGTCTTTCTCCGTCTGCGTTGTTTCACTTAGCATAATGCCCTCAAGGTACATCCATGTTGTAGCAAATGTGAGTATTTCCTTCTTTCTCATGGCTGAATAATATTCCATTGTGTATATATGTGTGTATATATATGTATACATATATATACACCACATCTTCTTAATCCATTCATCCCTTGACGGACACTTAGGTTGTTTCCATGTCTTGGCTATTGTGAAGAACGCTGCAATGAACATGGGAGTGCAGATATCTCTTCCATATCCTGTTTTCATTTCCTTTGGATATATACCCAGAAGTAGGATAGCTGGATTATATGGTAGTTCTATTTTTAATTATTTGAGGAACCTCCATACTGTTTTCCATAGTGGCTGCACCAATTTACATTCCCACCAACAGTGCACAAAGGTTCCTTTTTCTCCACATCCTCGCCAACACTCGTTATGTCGTCTTTTTGACGATAGCCGTTCTAACAGGTGTGAGGTGATATCTCATGGTGATTTGATTTA